TGCGCCAGCACTATTCACATGCAGCGAAGGCATTAGACCAAGGGAGCAGTAGCGTCGTAACATCAAGAGTAGAGTCTGATGGCTTCCACTAAGGTCCAGAAAGGATTTTTGGGCATTAGACCGATCCGATGACCAGCGTTGGACCATACTCTGTGGGGCCAAAATGTCAGTGACTCAACGGTTAGCAACAACTAGTTAATGGCTAGTGGCTGCGCGAGACAGGGCGTCGGACCCTAACAGAATTGGTTGGACGACCATCGTTGGACGGTTCGACGGTGTGTAGAAAATTGTGCCAAGTTCTAAATAGATATATAGTTCTCTCTTAGGGGCTATAAATATGACCCCAACCAACCATTTGGTAAAAGTTGGAGTGTGCTAAAGATATAGGAGTGTTGAGACACCCCACCAAGTGCTCTGACCACCACCAGTGCTTAAGAGAAGATTTGATGATTAGTGTAGGTGCTTTGCGAAGTGCTTATGATAGTTAGACCCGCTTAATCACGCTTGCTCTAGGTTTAGGCCTAGTATTTAGTGAGGTTTGCATACCTCGAAAAGCTTAGTGCTTGTGTACGCACCATTGTTGTACACCGGAGGGGCTTGTAGTCTTGTGAGACCACACAAACTGCGTTTTGTGGTGTGTCCGCCATCATGTAGCAGAGGAAACAAGGCCCACAACGGTTTGGCGGAAGCTTGATAGTGAAGATGGTGGGGAGCGGTCCGGGAGAGGCTTGCCGGAGACCCACTTGCACGTGGTGAAGGCCTAGAGCTATCCACGGAGTTACCCGACCGGGATCTTGGCCCTTGTGAGAGGCTCCAACAAGGACTATGGGGAAGCTTGCTCGCTTCTTGATATCTCGGTAAAAATACTAGAGTCATCGAACGGGAGCTCGTGTACTTATTAGGTTTTGTGCTTTATCTTCCTAGCTTAGTTGATATGATTGGAACCTAAGTTGCATAACCCTTTTGTGGTAGAGATAGCAACACACATAGCAAAACCTTAGTTGCACATAAGATAGCTTGTCTTTGCATAGGTTTTGCTTAGGTTCAAATTACATGCCATAGTTAGAAATAGTTTTTAAGTTGCCTCAATCACCCCCACTCTTTGGCATCATGGTCCCTACAAGTGGTATTAAAGTTGGTTGGCTCAATCTGGACCTTTGGCTTCACCGTCGTTGAGCCGATGCTATTTAGAGTGGGAAGGATGGATATCCATAGGCCTCCACACCTTGATGGCACTAATTTACCCTATTGGAGTGCTAGAATGGCTTGCTACCTTGAGACGATAGATTTAGGTGTTTGTAGAGTCACTCATGATGGGAGAAAACCCTAAAGAATCCCCAAAAACCCACGGCGAGAGATGAAAAAGAAATTCATCTAAATTCAAGAGCTAAAAATTGCTAGTGAATCTTTGAGCATGGAAATTTTTAACCAAGTGTTCACTCTATCTAAAGCAAATGAAATATGATTAAAATTACATGAGCTCCATGATAGTACAAGTAATGTTCATGAGCAAAAACATAGCCTAGCTAAACAAAGCTATGATTATTTCAAAATGAATGAAAATAAGCTTGTTAGAGATATGTATTCACGTTTGAATCTAATTATCAATGGGCTCAATTCTATAGGATTAACAAAGCTAGGTGATACGACATTGCGAGGAAGATCATCTTGGTGCAACCACATAGCAAATATACAAGCATCATAACCATCCTTCACAACATGGAGGACTTGAGTAACATGACCCTATCACTTGTCATTGGCAAGCTAGTGGCATTTGAGATATCACGGAAGATGGGTCAAGAAGAGGCCACTTCATCCAATAGTAATGAACCTAGAGAAGTTTAAAACGCATTGGTCCTCGTTGTCACATTCATATATTTATTTGTCTATTTTTTTGTTCCCCCGATAGTGCCTGAAGCTGAAGCTGGAATCCTGTTCTTTGTAGCCTATTGCATGTTGACCTTTAGTGCCACAACTTGATGTTTGGTACCTTCAACGATACTATCAAGGAGCACATGAAAGCTAAAAAAAATCTTCACTATTTTAAGTACCTTTTTTCTTCCTTCTAATTTCCACTAGGGCCAATACAATTTGTTCCTTGGCATCATCTAATTGCATGCAATCGAGTTGCCATCTAGAGAAGATTTGATCTCCAGGTTGGCCTGACGCAAATAGCGCGGGTAGCTAGCTTTTGTCATTATAACATCCGTATTTTATTTATATTGATTATTAGATACTTGAGTTGCTTTTTAAATAACTTTTTTATTTATTTAATTGTAATTTCTCTCTCTCTACTATCCTTCAACATGATCACCATATAGCTAATTCTTTGGATTGAAGATAGTATCGTAGCATATGTCAATTGTTGACCAATTTCTTGGATTAAAGATATTGTTTTGTTTTTCTCATTTTTCCCTCTCTGCTCCTATCTCGTGGTTGTAAATTTGTATAGAAGGTGGCCTTTGGTTCTCTTTTGGTGAGATCCATTCCTTGATAAAGCCACTGTTCAAGTTTCTTACAAATTATTTAGATTCTTAGCCCTTTTATAAATTTATATTATGGGTTGTCTTTTAACTTTGATCCATGCTTGTCTCTTTTCCCTAAAACAGATGTGCTATATTCATCATTGCATTGTTCATGTCAGTTGTAGCCCACTGCTAGTTTAAATAGCCAATATTCTGCCTATCATCGCGCCAACATGCACCAGTGGATCAACCCTTCCAAACAACACTTTGGACATCAATGACGCCATCTTGCCACCTATGCTTTTCTGCCATATTGTTTACTACAATGTTGTGACTCTATTTGTTTTCACTTGTGACCAACTTATCACAAAGAAAAAGGCTAAACAATGTACATTGTGTCGCTCGTGAGCTTGCTCGCATGCACATTAGGGAATTGATGGGCCGATTGTATGTGAGATATCAAGAACCGATATATATATATTTATTGTGATTTTATCATAATCTTAGGTGCCATAGCCTATTCCCCCGAGGTCATAGTTATATGTCATCAGAATTGAGTCACAATCGTTAGATTTGATACGTTATGGTTGGATGTTTCCACTTTGTTGACATATGTGGCGATACCAAATCTCTTCGGCCAGAGAAAAAAAAGACTCGTCAAGCTTAGAGCTATGGTGAGAATACATGATAAGATGGCGAGATGTAGAGCATGGTGAAGAAAGTTAGTGGCTTGGGGATCAAAGTACTTTGATGATTTTTATGGTTACAAAAAAACTTTATTAGTGTCCACGTTAGATAGCACTTGTAGATGTGTGCCTTTTTCGCGAACATTCACCATGGCGCATGTTTTTCATTAAGAGGAAAGGAGTAAAATAATACATAGTCGAGACCTAGGAGTAGCCCGACAGTGCAAGATGCGGACCGACGTAGCCCTAGACCAAGCCCTCCGCATAGTTACAAGGTGGATTAGACAACAAAGGATTTGCGATGCACAAACTCCAAGCAGATCTGGGGCGGGATGGCAGCATCCCCCATTAAACAGTTCGTCCGTTGCCTCGTGTTTTGCCGAGGATAGCAGTTCCTTGAAGGTCTGCTGGAATTCTTCAAAGGACACCGTGTCAATGAAGCCACAAACTGCTCCAAGCCCAACTTCTTAAGCAACACCCTCCTTGCTTGCAAGGAGGCTTTGAGGCTCCTGCGAGGGATTAGATCGACATTAACCGGATTACTCACCCTTCTCCTAGGCGGCGTCTTAAGGATTCCCCGCTAAATAGGGGTCTTCAAGGACAGAATAAATAAACTCATCAAGATCAGCAGTTGCACCAACAACTGGAGCATGCCCTGGAGCAACAAAATTCTTAGTTGATACGACACCATCCCCTGGCTCGGGGGTCCTACAACGCTAAGACACCATCCTCTGACTCGGGGGTACTACAAGGCTACGACACCACCTATTCAAATGGTGGACCAGCATTGCAACGAAATCCTTAGGGCCTGTTTGAAATGCAGGAATCAAAAACACGGAAATAGAAAAAAACGCAGGAATAGGGTGAGTGTGTAGTGGTAAAACAGAGTAAAGGAAAAACGCGGGAAATAACTAGAAGAGGTGTTTGGAACGAAGGAATCCATAACACGGGAAAAACACAGGAAACAACTAGAAGGAGTGTGCTGCGTGAGCGAGCAAGCGTCGTAGGAAAATTTCCCTTAGCTCTGAGCACATTTTTTCTTTCCTTCAAAAGTACAATCTCTATTGCCTTTCCTCTGGAAAGTTTTTCTCCGAATCCTTTGATCCAAACATGTCATCTTCATTCCTTTCCTATGGAACTAAATCCTCCATTTTTCCTTTGGTTTTAATGTTGATTTGAACTATTGGATTGTTATTTTTTTATTGTAATTTTGAAGATCTAAAACGCTACAAACGTGGTCTATCTATAGGATCAATGTGGTATAGTTTTTTTTTATCCTTTTGATTTAAATAGATTTCTAATTAAATTTATTTACTTATAGTAATACACTAATTTCTTATCTCTATCTTTTCCTACAACTAAAAAGACCCGGAGGTCATCGTCTGATTAGCACTAATCGCTTCACCGCTCTGCGTAATCGCCTCGCTAATAATAATCAGGCGTTTCGCCCCGCCTGCGCTCTCTACCGCGGAACCGCCCACGCGCGCACGACGCCTAGGGGGGCCATGGCCCCCCCTTGCCTCTATGATTTCGTGAAGCCCACGCCCCACAGATCTCCTCTGTTCGTGAGTCACTGACCGCGGCCAGGGTCATCACTGTAGCCAGCGGCCAGGTCAGACATGCCCCCACATAGCAATCATGTACTAGTGCTAGCATCGCTCAGCAGTTAGCCTGTTTTCGTTGCTTCTTTTACCTTCCTAGTGTGCGTATTAGAAGTGATTGTTTGAGTAATATTTTATTAGTAATCAAGATTTCATGTTGCGTTTTGGAGAATTTTTTATGCTCGGCTATTTTGTCGTCAATTGTACTGTGACTTAACTATAACTACTAAAATTAATTTCTCCACTATTTATATACATATGGATTCAATTGATAAATTGGCCCCCTCTGTATTTCCCTTCAGGCTCCGCCACTGCCTACCTCCGCAGCTCCCAGCGCGAACCGCCGCCCGGCTCCCGCCCCCGCCCCGCTCTCCGCGGCCGACGACGCGCTCAACCGCGGCCGAGGGCGCCGCCACCGCCGGGCCGAACCGCCGCCCGCCCGCGCACGCCGCCCGGCTCCCGCCCCCGCCCCGCTCTCCGCAGCCGACGACGCGCTCAACCGCGGCCAAGGGCGCCGCCACCGCCGGTTCCTCCACGACGTCCGCCTGCTCCTCTTGCCCCATCGCGCCGCGGGTTCCAACCACCTCCACCGGAACCCTAGGGCAACCAGGAGACGACAGCATCGTCGTCGCGCCGCCCCCACCCGGCGCCCCTGTCCCGGCCATCGCGCGGCGTCGCGGCGACGGCGCTCCGTGCCTCTGCAGGACCGTGGCCGAACGTCGCCTGCTCAGCCTTGGGCCTTGTCCGCCTCGCGCGTCGTCGGCGGCCAGTATCGCCCCCTTTGCCCTTTGCCCGACGGCCTCCAGCATCCATCCAGCTGACCAGCTCGAGCTCGTCCTCGCCACTAATTTCAGAGCTAATCACCCCCTGCCCGACTGTACACGAATTATGAACAATTAGCCTATTTTTAGTTAATGTGTATTCCAATTGCGTTTTCAGAAAAGAACATTGCACATAACCTGCCAGTCCGAACAAAACTGAGTTATTGCATAGTGGATTGGTTCTACTTATATCCCACAAAAAAAATCAATGTACCTACTACTGCAAGTTTTCATGAACCGAGAGCAAAAGGCCACAATAGAGGGACCAATCCAAGCACTATTTCCTTTCAGCGTTGGATGGTGAACTAACATGGAGATTGTATTCGCGGGACCAAATCATGAGCATTTATAGAGTGATGCTCTGACATTCCATGGTCAGGAAGATTCAGTACATTCGTTTTGGAATTAATGTTTGTTGTCTTCATGTTCAATTTTTGTCAACTGATATTCGATCGGACTGTGACATTAATATTGGCAGGAACTGGACTGCATGACGAGTAGAGCAGAACAGCAATACTGATTAGCACGCAGTTGGAAATTGCTACCAAAATCGAGTCATATCTACATTGGTTACGGTGGCGATCCTCCTTCTGGCTGCTATTACGGTGACATCTACCACCTCAACGGTAGGTGTTGGGTAAACCCCTCTCCCCCCTTACTGTCTCCTCTTCAGTTGCGCCCAGCCCTCCGTTTGCCTTTTGCGTGCTCTGGATGCACAATTCACTGTCCTGTGAATGCAATAGCACAGAAATGCGGACTAGATTATGATGATAACTAAAAAATTGCCAATTGTTTACAGGAGAGCTCCTTGAGTGCATGTTAATCTTTTCACTTGTCAATCAACAACACAATTTCTGAGGCTAACTGAGGCTACACAAGGGGTAAGTTTGTTTCAATGGATGCCCATTTGCTTGTTTAGCATTATATATAGCCAAAGGTTGAGTTGTTCCATTTCCCCTGATGTATCCTGACTCTTAAGAATAAGAAGTCATGTTTTCCAAATTTATCTGCATTTGAGACATGAAAACTAATACATTTTTCAGGTGGACTTTCAAGCATTGAATTGCATGATATAGGCAGTAATACAGTATGCTGATGTCTAGAGTAGTTCTGTCGGATACCATGAGAAGGGGTACCCTAAGCAAGATCCAAAAAACGACTGCTTAGATTTCGTAAAGATCGAAACCAGCTAAACGCTGCTGGCCTCGGCCGATTCTCCGACTCGCCCGAGGCCCCATCACCGCTGAACCTCGGCCGATTCTCCGACTTCACGCCCGAGGCCTCATCACTCATGGACCTCACCGATTCTCCGATTCGCCGAGGCCCCCACCACCGCGGGCCTCGGTCGATTCCCCGCCAAAGGCCTCGGCCGAGGCCACCGACCCTCCGTCTCGCAAAGGCGGGCTCGGCAGCACTCCGCTACCTCTTCCTTCTCCCGTCCCTCCGCAAAAGCGTCGTGTCGCATCAACTCACCAACTGCTGCCCTCGACAATGACCGCGCATGCCCGCATGAAAGATGAATGAGAATGGCCGATGGGACAGAGGCGGGGCAAGCGGGGTTACCCGCCATCAGTACTAACCACCGTGCACATGGGTTGGCGCCCATGCCTCACTATCTTGCCAACTCGCGACCGAGGACAATGCAGCGTGGGGGGAGCCACATCTGCCATCTTGGGCCTCGGAATCGCATACCAGAGCAATAATTCCCTCCAAGGCCTCGGCAGCTTGCTCCGGGGCTCGACAACCCGAGGACCCATGTCCGCCAAAGCCCCCTCACGATGGCTTGGCCTCGGCACCTCTGAGCCACATGAAATTTCTACGACGTCATCATCGCGATGACTGCCGTCCCCGGATCAAGGCGGGGGTTACCGTCACTATGCTATCCACCGTGCACATGGTTGACACCCATGCCTCACTGTGCTGCCAACTCCTGCTCCAAGGACAACGCAGCATGGGGAGCCACGTCTGGGCTACTGTGGCCTCGGAATCAGTACCCAGGGCCAATAACTCCCCCCAAGGCCTCGACAGTTTGCTTCACGGGCTCGGCAGCCTGAGGGTCCATGACCACCGAGCCCCCCACGATGGCTCGGCCTCGGCATCTGCAGAGCAGCACTGCCCCACGACGTCATTACGGCGACCAACCGACGTCGCCCGCCATGTCCTCGCATCAAGCCGTCTCGGAGCCCCACGACGACAAGACCGAGTATGACCAAAGATGTCACTTCCGCGACAAGGGGCGGGGGCCACTCCATCGACCATACCACAACAAAGGGTCGACTACGAGGCTCGGACACGCCACCCCATTTACGTAAGCGCTATGTAGCACCACCGTGCGGTCCCGTCCTCCTTAGAGTATAAAAGGAGGGATCGGGGCCATTCGGGAGAGGCGGAAAAGACGAACACGCCGATAGAACCCACGCACTCCTACGCCGCTTGGGAACAACGCCTCAAGCAGCCCGCACCACACTCGCCCGAGACACAGGGCTAGTTCCTCTCTCACCTAGCTTGTAACCCCCTACTACGAGCACTCCGGTGCAAGGAATACAAGATCGATCTCTCGGATGGGCGTAGGGCCTCGATTGCTGAACGAACCATAAACCTTGTGTCTCTTTGCGCCACCATCCGGGATTAGGGGCACGCAAAGACAAATTCACTCGTTGGTTGAGGGACCCCGGTTCCAAAACACCGGCAGTTAAGGCGCGCCCGTAGGGGCGCTGCGTGTCGGCTTTCGTCATCGTAGCAAGTTCCGGATGGCGACTACATACGACCATTGCGTCTCGGCACCATAGTTTGGTTGGGGAGCCTAGAGTTCATGTCTCTAGGGCATGAGTACGACATGGTGCTCCTCACTCCTCGAACCCCACCGTCCGACGACGAAGTCGCGCCCCGGCAGCCCAGCGCAGCGGCGCGCCGGCGGCTCGCTCTCTCCCACGCCGCCAGCACGACGCGAGCAAGGCCACCCCGACGCTTCTGCGAGCCTGTGGCGACACGCCTCTCCCCGCCGATGTCCCACGACCAATTTGTTGGTACGGGGTCCTGGTCAGGACCCGTCGACCCGAGCACGGGCGAAGGAAAATCGCCGGTGGCTTACGGCGATGCCCGATCGTCTAACCCGCTCCGCCACTCCTCGAAGAGCCGACCCGGTGGGCGTAATATGGAGACGGCCCGTCCCCATACCCCTTTGGGTTGAGAAATGCCGCCGCCTCTCGCGCCTCGCTTACGCCGCCACTCACGAGCACCCCTCGGAACGCCGCCAACCGCTTCGCTCGACTTGAGCACCCGCTCCGACTCCCTCGGGACGAGGGCGAGGCATGGCCCAGGTGGATTTCTCCGAACTTCACAACCACGATTTGCGCCAATTCTTGGCATAGCGACCATCGCTCGGCTACTCCGACTCCGACGATGAAGGGACTTACGATCCATCTCGTGAGTGCTTCCACGTCGGGCTCGGGATGCCAAGGGCGCGGCGAAGGAACGAGAGGACAGGCAACCATTCCCGCCCGGGCGGGCGGGCGACGCCACCCCACCGCGTCTCGAGGCCCCGGCAAAGACGGGCGAGAATCCCGCCAGCAGGGGCATCGACGCCAGACTGGAGCAGCTCCACGAGCTTCAAGCCAAGGTCGAACAAGACCGACTCATTCGCAATGCAGCTTCTTGGACACTCTCGGCGGGAGCGGCAAAGAAGGGCGCGGTGAGGGCGGAGGGGCCCGAGGGAGGGCCCGCGACGTCCACCACCGCATCAACGACAACGAGGGGGATGAGCCGCCCCAATCTTTAACCGCTAGCGAATGTGTCGCAGCCAGCTGCGATGCTAGTCCGAGCAATGCCCGAGCCCTCCACCACCGAGGGGCGACGGGTCCGCGGAGAGCTCCGCGACCTCCTCGAGACCGCAGCAGTGCAGCAGGCCGAAAGTTCCGCCTCCCGCCGGCGCGGAGGCACTTCGGAGCAACCCACGGCACGACCTCGCCAAGGCGAGGGTGCCTCGGCCCGTCCCTGCCACTTTCGCAGCGCCGACGGTCAGCAGGCCCTCTCGGTGCGCAACCGAATCTTCGGGACCAACACGAGGCAGGCGCGACCACGAAGTTGTTGGCGGCGGCGGCGCCACGACGACGGAGCCGCCGCCCGAGGCTACCACCCACACCGAGGCGGTCGCTCGACAGCGGTGAGGACCGCGATCCTTCCCCGAGTCGCCAGGACCTCGGGTCTTCAAGCGAGGGCCATCCGCGTTGCTCCTTTCCCCCGCCCGGTTCCGGCGGTGACGCCAACCTCGCTCAATAATCGGCGGCGAGACCAACCCGGAACTCGGCTCGCCGATTACGCTGGCTTCGCCCGGCTAGGTGGCGCGGACGATGACCTCATCATCATCCGCAATCTCCCTTGCTCTTGTCGGACTCTCGGCGAGCTCAGGCTGAGCATCTCCTCCTCGCAAATCCACGATGGCGCGACTTGGTTAGAATCTTCGTCGGGAACTTCCAGGGCACATCGTGCATACAGGAATTCTGGGGATCTTAAAAGCTGCCGTCGGAAGCCGACGAGTCTCTCCGAGACTTCATCCGGCGCTTCTCCAAGCAAAGGCACCGAGCTACCAGTGTCGGCGACTTCGGAGATCGTCCGTGCTTTCTTCTCCGGCACCACTTGTCGGGACTTGGTCCGAGAGTTAGGGCGCAACGTCCCCGCTCTGCTGCCAGCGCTCTCGACATCGCCACCAGCTTCGCCTCAGGGGAAGAAGCTGCCGAGCCATCTTCCCCAACACCGATTCTAAGGGGAAGCGGAGGAAGAGGCCCCGAGGCCTCAAATTTCCACCTCCCTAAGAAAAAGAAGAAAGGTCGCCCGAGGAAGCAGGA